TGCTTCTGGAATTATGGTATATATCATGTGTTCCTTAATAAGTGCGTAAAATGCAGGAGTCATTACTAACTGCAGTGTCTGTTTCTATCATCCTAAGATATTAAAGTTGTACTGTAAAGCTTATGATACTCAGTACACTAAATGAGAAGGGTGTCTAATATTCTTAACATTTTAAAAGATGTAATTAATGAAATTAGGTAGTTTATATCTGACTTGGCACTGAAATGTCAAGGGCAAAACTTACCAGCTATTTTGGCAAGTTTACTTCTGCTTTAGAAGGTATTTAAAAGACAGTTGTATGACTTTTAATTAGGTATGATATTAAAAAGTATTTAAATCTCCTATTCTGAAATTGAAGGAAAAGAGATCATTTAGATCACAAAAGGGTATATTTCTCAAAGGAATTACTGTAGCCTGTGTAGCTATCTGCAAGCCAACTGGAATTACTAGTTCTAGGATGTCAAAAGATTGATACACTTGACTAATTAGGAAGCCAGTTGGGAATGGTGACAGCAGTCTGCATCAGCTTGTGAAAGCCTATTTAAAGGTCCCATAGGAAGTGTTAATATTGAACGATATTTGTGACTCTTATACTATCACTGTAGCAATGTTGTATCCCGTTCTCCCAGGGCAATTTAAAAGATTTCTAAAATACTGCATGGGTACGCTTATTTCTTAAACTCTCAGTCATAGAAACTTGGACAATGTTATAGATAGTGTGGATACTAATAATTAGCTGTGTAGCTTCATAGAAGGTGTCACAGTCAACTGTTGGTGTAGGCATCAAAAACCAGAATTTGGAGCCTAACTGAAGGTGCAGAAGTTTGAAAAACAGGCTTTCTGCATGTTTGGGGTGCATAGATTATAACTAGGAATGTTTTTATTTGCAGCGGTTAACTTTTTTCCATACATCCATGCATACAGGAAAACTATGAGAGGAGGTTTTTTTAATTCAAGTTTCTATATACTTTATTTATTCTTCTGTTAACTGTTTTGCATATCAATTGAAGCACTAATCTATAATCCAGTTTGTGACTACAGTGTATTTCAGATAAGTATGAAAAACAGATAGTACCCATAAATGTGTTACAGCTATGCTAGAAAAATATGTAGTTTTTCAGTATTTCTATTCCATTATTTAAAATCTTTTTTTATTTATTTGATGGGTCTTTTTATAGTATAGCAGATTATGCACCAAGATTTTTTTCTACTGGAAACTATTAACTTTTTGAAATAACTCTGAAAGCCACAGTAGTCTTGGATAGGCTTAAAAGGAAAGAGATGACATGCTGAAATAGGATTGAAATTTTTCTTCTGTTATTTCTACTTCCTAAAACAAAGCTTATGAACTCTTTTCCATAAACATTTTTGGTATCATTTGGGGTACTGTGCTATTCAATCTTTTTTGCATTACTGTTACACAAAAGGCTTATAACATTTTCATGTTATAATGCTTATAACAATATTCATGTACCTTAATGTAACTAATGGCTTGCCATCAGAATTTCTCCAAGCATCCCTTTGGTTTGAAACTATTCACTGAGTGTTTTCATTCCAGACATGAGTATTTTAGAAAATAGCATGACATTAGATAGAGAAAGGAAAGTTAGGGAAAAAAAAAAAAAAAAGAAAAAGACAAACAAAAATACCAACAGCACCACAAAACCAAAAAAACCCCACAGGAAGCTGAATACATAATCTGAGTAATTTTTTGTAAGGTACGTTCCAAGCCATATTAAAACCTGTGATAGTCCATTAGTGGTAAGAACTTCAGGGTAATAAATCATGTTTTACCAAACTCAAACCCAGAGAAAAATCTGTATTTCGGTCTTCATGTTTATTCTATATCTGCCATGTATTGCGCAGAAAATAAATGTACTTAAATGTTGTGAAAATTTATAAAATATTTGCTCATTTTCCATTATTTCCTTTTGTGTATAGCTCTTTTGTGTAAGGTTGTTAACTAGCTTGATAATACAGAGTATAGAGAAAAGATAACTAGGTGTTACACTTCACTAGGTAAAAAACTGGCTGGAAGGCCGGGCCCAAAGAGTAGTGTTGAATGGAGTTAAATCCAATTGGCAGCTGGTCACAAACAGTGTTCTCCAGGGCTCAGTATCGGGGCTGGTTCTGTTTAATATCTTTATCAATGGTCTGGATGAGAGGATCAAGTGAACCCTCAGTCAGTTTGCAGCTGATACCAAGTTGGGCAGGAGTGTTGATCTGCTTGAGGGTGGGATGTCTCTAGAGAGGGATCTAGACAGGTTGGATTGATGGGCTGAGGCCAACGGTATGAGGTTCAACAAGGCCAAGTGCTGGGTCCTGCACTTAGGTATCAACAACCCCATGCAGTGCTACAGGACTGGGGAAGAGTGGCTGGAAAGCTGCCTGGCAGAAAAGGACCTGGGGGTGTTGATCGAGAGCTGACTGAATGTGAGCCAGCAGTGTGCCCAGGTGGTCAACAAGGCCAACAGCATGCTGGCTTGTATCAGGAATAGTGTGGTGAGCAGGACTAGGGAAGTGATCGTTCCCCTGTGCTTGGCACTAGTTGAGGCCGCACGTTGAGTACTGTGTGCAGTTTTGGGCCTCTCACTACAAGAAAGACATTGAGGTGCCGGACCGTGTCCAGAGAAGGGCAATGAAGCTGGTGAAGGGCCTGGAGCACAAGCCTTATGAGGAGCGGTTGAGTGAACTGGGGTTGTTTAGTCTGGAGAAAAGGAGGTTGAGGGGAGACCTTATCGCTCTCTACAACTACCTGAAAGAAGGTTGTAGTGAGGTGTGGGTTGGTCTCTTTTCCCAAGGAACAAGCAATAGGACAAGAGGAAATGGCCTGAAGTTGTGGCAGGGGAGGTTTGGATTGGATATTAGGAAAAATTTCTTCATGGAAAGGGTTTTCAAGCATTGAAACAGGCTGCCCAGGGAAGTGGTTGAGTAACCATCCCTGGAGGTATTTGAAAAACATGTAGATGTGGTGCTTAGGGAGGTGTTTTAGTGGTGGACTTACAGCATTAGGTTTACGCTTGAACTGGATGATCTTAAGAGTCTTTTCCAACCTAAACAATTCTATGATTCTAACGGTGTTCTCAGATTACAGTTTTGTTGTTTTAAGGACCACCTTCTTGGGAAAGCGGCAAATTAAATACTATGGGGAAGGAAGAGGGTTATCCTTAGAGGATATTTTTAGGAAATTAAAAAAATTAAGATAAAATCACTTTCTAGACACAAATATACATGTAGAAGTAGCAGAAGTTAAAGAATGAGTAAAAGGAACAGAAGTTCTAACTAAATGCAATTAGTTATACAATTGCACAAAATGAATTTTTAAAATAAATTTTTCGTCTTTCTGTAAATAATATAGAATACAGAAAAGGACAAAAATGTTTATGAAAATCTAATTTGAATTTGAGTTAATGTTGGGGAACATCTGTTGTGAGATTTAAGTATCTTTATATGTGTATTTCTATAGAATTCTTTAATATAGAGACTCTTATTATTTCACGAGGAGATTACCACTATGTGAGTTTAAGTCATATTTGAAGGACATTTTTCTTCAATTTGTAGACAGGGAAGCTCTAATTTTGAGGCAATAGATGATTTTATTTTTTTAAAATAATGTTTTGCATATCTCTGTTCCTAAAATCTTTTTGGTATGCTTTCCTCTTGTGCTTTTAAGTAATATCCCAGCTTTGGGTTCGCAGAAGCTAAATTAGGTTCAACTCCTGACTTAGCAGTAGAATGATGAAAGTAAAAATGTTTCTAGAATGTCATATTCACGATATGGCCCATAGTGATTTGATGGTACTTTGCCAGATCTTCCTCTGCAGCTTTGAGCTTTTTTTGTCTGAATTATTTTTGTTGTCCTTGAAACCACTTACCTTAGAAAGATGCTGCAATTCTTTAAAGTTTATTGAAAGATGGAATTTCTTTAAAGGAGGGAAACAAATAGAAATAGTGTTGGAAAGCAACATTTTCCATAATAATTTTCCCCCATATTCAGGTCTAGAAGGTTGCCTTGCTTCCTTACTTGTAGTCCAGGACTTTCAGAATTCCTTAAATTAGTGGCATGGCGTCTCATTCTCCCCATAAACTAGATTAGATCCTGATTTGAATATTCACTGTTAGTAATAACTGCAGAATCGTGTGATGTGTCTGTGTCCAAGGTGTGTTTTGACCTAGGGAGTTTTGCCCGGTGAGGCATAATGAGATTTCTATTGTGTAATTCTTTATTACTCTGTGGTGATTTTTTTGTCATACATTAAATCCCTGGTGTTGTGTTCTTTGTCCACCCAGAGATAGGCAAAAGGGGTTAACAAGGTTCAAAAATCTGTCATTTTCTGATGTGTTTACTTGAGGAAATAAAAATAGGACATTTAATGCTTGCATTTAATTATAATCTCACAGTAACATTCATAATTCTTTCAGGGGATATTATACATACCTGTGTAATATGATGAGTAGAATTTTCCTGAACTACATCAATTATTTAATATTGGCCAGAGGTTATTAAATACGAAGGGAAAATGGCTTTTGATTAAAGCTACCTATGGATATCATTCTGTATCCTATCCAGTCCAATATTGTTCACTCA